TTATTATCTATTTATTATCTATTTATTATCTATTTATTATCTATTTATTATCTATTTATTATCTATTTATTATCTATTTATTATACATTTATTATCTATTTATTATATATTTATTATATATTTATTATATATTTATTATATATTTATTATATATTTATTATATATTTATTATGTATTTATAATTATTTATCTGCAAATGCAGCAGAACTGAATTCGCTGTGGCTTGCATTCGCCGCGAGCAGCTCTTTTTTCGCTTGTGTTGCGCAGCAGTTTAATTTTCTGTTTTTGAAAACAATTATTTATTTGTGATTTAAAGACAAGTAGAAGCTGGCCATTTATTATTATTATTCCATTTATTGCAGAGTTTCGAACTTTGCATCTTTTGTTTCTTTTTTAAGGACAAGTAGAAGCTGGCCATTTATTATTAATTATTCCATTTGTTGCAAAGTTTCGAACTTTGCATCTTTTGTTTCTTTTTAAATTTTCTTTTTTGAATTTTTAATTTTCCATTTGTCTGCAGGCTTTTGCAGAGGCCGAAAAGCTGCTGCAGCAGCTGCAGACTGGCAGCAACTCTGCTGCAGTCGCTGACAACAATGAAGCAACGCCCAGCAGCAGCAGCAGCAGCAGCAGCAGCAGCAGCAGCAGCAGCAGCAGCAGCAGCAGCGAGGAAAGAAGCAGCAACTCATTGAAAGAAGCAGCAGGCGAAGACAAAAAAGGAAAAGATGGAGTGAAAGAAGAGGCGGATAGCCGAATGCCCGTTGAGGTCTGCGTGGACTATGTGAGTTTCTGGATTTGAATTTTTTTATTTTTAATTTAATTTAATTGATTAAAGAAATAATAAATGGAAAATAATAAACCAATTAATGAATTAATTGCATGCATTTGCGCAAATTCGAAGAAATAAAAGCACCAGAAGCTGCAGATCCTACCTGTTCATCTTTGTGCATTTGCACGCTGGGAATTCTGTTAAACTATTTATGAATGCAGAAAAATAATATATTTTAAAAAACAATTATAATTATACTTTTCTATTTTTCGGTGTTTGTGTAGATACACGAATATGCAGAAGTTCCTTCTTTTCAACTGGAACTGAGCGGGTCAAAGGGGCGTTTTCTCTTTTCCACTTTTCCTTTTTCTTTTCTTTTTTTTGCACAATTGCTGGCAATTATTTGTGAAAAAAGATACTTTTAATTCCTTTTTTGTTTTGTTTTTCCCTTTTTAGATCCTCAAAGCCGCAGACAAGCGGGCGCGGAAAGCAATGTTTCCACTTTACTCATATCTTGCGGTGTACGTACGGCCCATCTTGCCGGGCATTGTGGACCCGTTCATCAAACGGGCCGCCAAACTGTGACGAAATGCCAAATAAATAAATAAAATAAAAATAAATAAATAAATAAATAACAATTAAATGCAAACTTCGCGCAATTTAGATGCCAGGGACTCAAAAAGTCCCGCTGCAGATGCCGAACCCAGGCCCCAGCCAGAGTCTGTGTGTTGCATGCAGCAGTTTCTCTCAGCCAAAATCCACACAAATGCAAAACAATGAAAGCTTTAAAAACATTTTATAATTTTAATTCACAATTGCAAATTACTGCGAAGTTTTTAAACGCAGAAAGCCCCAAGTGGCCCTCTGCTGCGCCGCATGCTGGCGCCCCAGGAGAGGCAGCTGCTGCTGCTCCTATATATATATATATTATTTGTATATATCTATATTTATATATATTAATATATTACATATATATAATTTATGTATATATGCATTATATATAGACTTATATACATTATATATATATATATATATACATAATATGTATATATATACATTTATTTATATATATCTATATCTGTATATAGTAATATATATATATATGTAATATATATGTATATATATACATTACCTATAGATTTATATATATATCTATAGGTAATGTATATATATGTATATATATACATTACCTATAGATTTATATATATATATATATATATATATATATATATATATATATAATATATATAATATATATATTATTATATATATTATATATATACAATATATATATATATTTATATTTATTTATTTATATATGGACACTGCTTTGGCTGCCCTTGCAGCAAAAACGCCTTTTTGCTGCGCTGTACAGACAGGGGCTTGCGAGTTGCATTTAGAAAAACAAAAAGTGAATTTTAAATCTTTTCTTTTATTTGAAGATATAAATATGAAGTCTGCAGCAAACAAATATGCAATTATTATTATTATTAATTATTATTATTATTATTATTATTATTATTATTATTATTATTATTATTGTTATTAGATATTCCCCATTTAAATGCATGCAGCAGCTGCATGTACACTTGAAAGTGTTTAGTGGCCAAATAAAAGAATCTTTTAATTGCCATTTTGCTTTTTAGATTTGACTCTCAAGTTGCTTTTAAAGAATTAAAAACAAACTTTTGAAATAAACCTTCTTTAGAATTCAAAGCAACTGAAAGAGAAGCAGAAACAGCAGGCGCTGCGCTGCAGCAGCTGCAGCAGCAGCAGCAGCAGCAACGCCGCGACATGTTTAAGACAGCAGCAGCAGCAGCAGCAGAGCAGCAGCAGCAGCAGCAGCAGAGCAGCAGCAGCAGCAGCAGCAGCAGCAGCAGCAGCAGCAGCAGAACAACAACTGCAGCAAACCCTTCACACTCTAGTAGCCCCAAATATATATAAAGAGTGGCCAGGGCTTTGAGGAGAATAAAATGGAGAAAAAGAAATAATTGGAAATTAAAAAGTGTTTGTGTCAGTGATGTTTGGCCTAGTAAATGAACTGCGGAAGTTGTGGGCCAAAAAAGTTGAATTTTTTTCTGAATTTTGGCTGGTAGAGAGGCCCCGCGGGGCTGCGCTAATCGGAGGCTTCTGAGCCTCTTTTTGCAAAATAAATGAAAGAACTTGCGAGAAAAAGAAGAATTAATGGCTAGCTAACTGGCGAAATGGCGAAAGTGGCATTTTAATGGCAGCTGTTCGCGGGGAGAAAGAGAGAGCCCCCCGAACACACGAGTTGCTGCTGCTCGCTGCGCCCCGCCGGCCGCAGCGCCTCCAGACTTGGAATTCATTTAATATTTGCAGAAAATAAATTAATTTAATTATTTAAAAGTGAATGGATCGGCGAAGGCGGCGGGGAGTGCACTGGTCCGCGCCGGACCACTGGGGCGGAGGCGCAGGTGTAGTGACACCCCGATGTTGGCGAAAAAAAGTGGCGCGAACGCGCCGATTTCGCGCGTTTTAAATAAATAAAAGTATTTCAAATAAATAAAAAGAAAAATAAAAGCAAACGAGCCGCAAATAGCCGCGCTAGAAACGACCGCAGCAGCCGCCCGAGCCAATCGTAGCCGTCGCAGCCCTGCATACATTCAGCTTCCCCTCGCGCGCATTTTCGCCTTTGCTGCCTCTCTTGCTTTTCTTTTATTATTTTCTGATGGAAAACTTCGCAAAGTTTTGCAATTGAAGTTGAAGAAGGCCCTTTTTCCCGGAGCAGCAGCACGGCGTCCGCAGCACTGCAGCTGGTCAGCCAATGGGTAAGCAGCAGCAGCAGCAGCAGCAGCAGCAGCAGCACTAGCTGCCAGCTTCATTTCCCCTTTTCGCTCCCTTTGCCCCTCCCCTCTGTTTATTTTGCTTCCGCATGCATGCAATTGTGGCCTTAAAGCGGCGGGGGCGCTGCTGCAGCCGCTGGCGCTGCAGCAGCAGCAGCAGCAGCAGCAACAGCAGCGCAGCGCTGCTGCTGCTGCTAACAGCCCTTCCGAGTGAGCCGCCCCTGGGACGCAGCAGCAGCAGCAGCCCTCCGCGCCTGCGCAGCAGCAGCAGCAGCAGCAGCAGCAGCAGCAGCAGGGCCTCCTGAGTAGAATCTTGAGCAAGCAGCAGCTTTTCCTGCAGCAGCAAGGAAGCCCTAGCAGCTTTTGCATGCGTGTGTGGCCCGCGGGGCCCTGGGGTGTACAGACACCGCAAAGCGCGGCCTCGGCGGCCTGCCGCCAGGTGTACGTACACCTCGTGCATGCATGCATTAGCTGCTGCTGCTGCTGCTGCTGCTGCTGCTGCTGCTGCTGCCCACGTGCATTTTGGGCCTTCAGTTGTGCATTTAGGAGTTAAGGAAAGGGGGGCTGCTGCTGCTTTCTCTAGTGTCCCCGTGCTGCTGCTGCTGCTGCTGGGGCTCGTCCCAGGTCCTTGCTGCTGCTGCTGCTGCTGCTGCTGCTGCTGCTGCTGCTGCTGCTTCGCCAGCGCCCGGCGCGAGGCTCTAGAGCGGCGGGCGCTTCGCCAGCTGCTGCTGGGCAGTGAGGCAGCGGCTGCTGCTGCCGCTACAGCGGTTTTGGCGCTGCAGCTGCTGCTGCAGCAGCTGCTGCAGCTGCTGCTGCTGCTGCTGCTGCAGCTGCTGCAGCTGCTTTTGGGGCTCTTTTGGAGGCATTTTGGGGTCTTTTGTTAGGATTTTTTGGCCAGCTGTTTCTCCTTGGATTTGCTTTTGAGTTTTGGTTTTAATTAATTTTTATTTTTCTGTTGAAGTCCTCAGGGCGCCTCAAGTGAGGCGGAGTGCGTGTGGCAGTGTGGGTGGCGGTGGGGTGTACGTACACCCGAGGCTTCGCCGCTAGTTTGCTGCAGCGCCGCTGCTGCTGCTGCTGCTGCTGCTGCTGCTGCTGCTGCAGAAAAAAGGCCCGGCAATCTGCTGCAGCAGCCTTTGCTTCCTTTCCACAATGGACATTTTCCGAAAACTTCTTCCTTCTCAAAAAGAAGCTGCTGCTGAGACTTCGCAGCGCCAAGTTCGAATTCCCCCCAACAAATGCACTGCAGCCAACTTCGTCTTCGCCAACACCCTCGGCACCGGTGAGGGTTTAGGGTTTAGGGTTTAGGGTTTAGGGTTTAGGGTTTAGGGTTTGGGGGTTGGGGGATGGGGTTTGGGGTTTGGGGCTAGGGGTTAGGGGTTTAGGGCTTGGGGTTTGGGACTTGGGGCTTGGGGTTTGGGGTTTGGGGTTTAGGGTTTGGGGTGTAGGGTTTAGGGTTTAGGGTTTAGGGTTTAGGGTTTAGGGTTTAGGGTTTGCGATTAGGGTCTTTTGGCCGCGTCTTTCTGGCGCGCCGCAAAGATGACCCCACATCTCCGCCTGTGGCTATAAAGCGGCTGAAGAAGTTTGCTGTTATAAGACAGAAGCAAGTTGATCACATTTTGTCGGAAAAAAGAATTCTCCAACTCATCAACCACCCTTTCACTGTAAGCTCCTGCTCCTGCTGCTGCTGCTGCTGCTGCTGCTGCTGCTGCTGCTGCTGCTGTTGGTGGGGTGGCGGCGCTCGCGGCGGTCATTGCGCTGCTGCTGCTCACGCGGGGCCGCTGCTGCTGCTGCTGCTGCTGCTGCTGTTGCTGCTGCTGCTGCTGCTGCTGCTGCTGCTGCTGCTGCTCGCAAGGGGGCTGTTGCTGCTGTGGCTCCGTTTTGTGGCGCTGCTGCTGCGTCGCTGCAGCAGCCGCACTTCGCGTATATCTTTGGGGCAGATCAGTGTGCAGCAGTTTCATGTTGCATTGGGACTATTCTTTTGAACGAAATAAATAATATTCATTAAATTAATAAAATATTAATTAAATGAATTCATTTGATTGCGTTTTTGAATCAATAGAGTCTTTTTAGACTCTGCTTTCGCAATTGAGGCGGTGCCGCGGTCAAGTTGATTGCAAGATTCCGGTGGTCTTGTGTTTCTCTGCTTCTTTTTCTTTTTTTAAAATTTATTTTATGAAATATATTTTAATAATTAAATCTTTTCGCAATTATTCCTTTTTATTTGGCAGGCGAACTGCCTGCGAAAGGGTCTGTGCCAGTTCAGGACAAATGGCATTTCTCGGCGGCTTTCATTTCCTCTTGTGTGGTTTTGCATTTATTTTAAAGTGCTTTCTTGCCCAATTATATTTAAATTTGCTGCAGACTCCCACGCAATTAATGCAGTGCACAAAACGGAGCATTTATTGGTCTTTTGTGGGCTGCTTTCCCATATTTGCTGCTGCTGCTGCTGCTGCTGCTGCTGCTGCGTTTGTGCGCAGGTGAATATGCTGGGCACTTTCAAAGACGACCACTACCTTTACATTGTAATGGAATACGTAATAGGGGGGGAGTTCTTCACAGTTTTGCGGAAAAACCGAAGATTCGAAAACGACGCCTCGAGGTTCTACGCGGCGCAAGTGACCACCATATTTGAGTACTTGCACGGCAGAAACATCATTTACCGGTGAGAATAAACGCCTTTTGTTGTTTCTGAAGTTCAAGTGGGATAATTAAAAGGAAAAAGCTGCAAAAAATGGAGAAAAAGCTGCAAAAAGTGGAGAAAAAGCTGCAAAAAAAGGAGAAAAAGCCTCTGCAGATGCATGCACGGGTCTGCAGCGGAGGGAAATATTCACGTTTTGCGAATTGGCAGGCAACCACTGGATCTTTGCAGTTCTTTCGGCCTTCAGCCGGCCTTTTAAGTTTAATTGTTATTTAATTCTTTTATTTAATTCAATTAATAAAACAAATGTCAACTTGAAACACCAAAACACTCCGAAATGGCTGGCGAGCCAGCGCTTCGAGTCCGCACGAAGTCGCCAAGTGATCTGCAGCGATCCAGCAGCAAAAAAGAGCATTTTTGGATCCATTTGCTGCAAATATTTTGCACATAATTAATTATATATCAAATAAATATTAAATAATGCCTATTTGCCTCTCAAGCCCCGAGTTTCCCGGCTGAACTGCACTGTGTGTGTGCATTCTGAACATTCTGAATTCAGATTCCCCTGCATGCATTGCTGCATGCAGGCCTTTGTTGCTGCACTTTGCCTTTGCTGCTGTTTGTGTGTTTGCTGCTGCTGTGTCAGTGACTTGCTGCTGCTGGTGTCTTGCTGCTGCTGCGTCAATGACTTGCTGCTGCTTGTGTGTTTGCTGCTGCTGTGTCAGTGACTTGCTGCTGCTTGTGTCTTGCTGCTGCTGCGTCAGTGACTTGCTGCTGCTTGTGTCTTGCTGCTGCTGCGTCAGTGACTTGCTGCTGCTGCTGGTCTGTTTGCTGCTGCTGCGTCAGTGACTTGCTGCTGCTGGTGTCTTGCTGCTGCTGCTTCAGGGACTTGAAGCCGGAGAACTTGCTGGTGGACTCTGAGGGGTATTTGAAGTTGACGGACTTCGGCTTTGCCAAAGTCATAGAGCACCGCACTTACACCCTCTGCGGCACTCCCGAGTACATCGCGCCCGAAGTGCTGCTGAACAAAGGCAAGAGCAGCAGCAGCAGCAGCAGCAGCAGCAGCAGCAGCAGCAGCAGCGGCAGCAGCGGCAGCAGCGGCAGCAGCAGCAGACGCCGCGCGAGCAGCCGCCGCAGCACCCCGGCGGCCCCAACGCACGCGCCACGCAGCAGCAGCACACCAGCACCAGCAGCAGCAGCAGCAGCAGCAGCAGCAGCAGCAGCAGCAGCGAAGTGTTTGTTTGCTGCTGCTGCTCGCAGGCCACGGCAAGCCCGTGGACTGGTGGACTATGGGCATTTTGATTTACGAAATGATTGTTGGCTATCCGCCTTTCTTCGACGACGAGCCAATGGGGGTTTACCAAAAGATTTTGGGCGGACGAATAATGTTCCCCAAGTCCTTCGACAAGTAGGGTTTAGGGTTTAGGGTTTAGGGTTTGGGGTTTAGGGTTTAGGGTTTAGGGTTTAGGGTTTGGGGTTTGGGGTTTGGGGTTTGGGGTTTAGGGCAGCAGCGCCCCTTGCTGCTCGCCAGCGCGGCGGGGGCCCCAGCGCTCCCTAGCTAGCTAGCTGCAGCAGCAGCTAGCTAGCCGCTGCAGCAGCAGTTAGCTAGCCGCTGCAGCAGCAGCTAGCTAGCCGCTGCAGCAGCAGCTAGCTAGCCGCTGCAGCAGCAGTTAGCTAGCAGCAGCAGCAGCAACTAGCTAGCTGTGCGTTCCACGAACTAGCTCGCCGCAGCAGCAGCAGCGCGCCGTCCCTGCAGCAGAGGCTTCTCCCCGCCTCCCCGCTGCTGCTGCTGCAGCAGCAGCAGCAGCAGCAGCAGCAGCAGCAGCAGCAGCAGCAGCAGCGGGGGTGTTGCTGCAGGAACGCGAAGATGCTGGTGAAGCGGCTGCTGACTCCGGACTTGGCGAAGCGTTATGGGAATTTAAAAAACGGAGTTGCTGACATAAAAGAACACAAGTGGTTTGCTGCTTTCGACTGGCACGCGCTGCTGCAGAAGCAGCTGCCGCCCCCCTACAAACCCGCCTTCAAGGTCTGCTGCTGCTGCTGCTGCTGCTGCTGCTGCTGCTGCTGCTGCTGTGGGTGGTGGGGGGGAGGGGGAAGTGCTGCTGCTGCTGCTGCTGCTGCTGCTGCTGTGGGTGGTGGGGGTCCACCCCCCCT